GAGTCAGGGTGAGAGAGTCTATAAGGGTCAATCAAGTCTAGCTCATCCATCACAAGGGCTAGGGAGGATTTATCCCGGGTGTAACTTACGCCAGTGGTAACATCCAACGATGTATTCCAATCTTCTGTGATAATTAATTTATCACTGTTAGGGATAATCGACAAGAGGTCCAAAAAGAAGTTGGTTTTCTCTCTATCATCCACTGGCGCATAAACTGTTGCAATTGCCCAGGAATTACCATCCATAAAAATTTTGAGCCATGCCCAACGTCCCCATATATCCACGTAAAAATCTACGATCTCAGCGTCGAGACTCCTATGGACAAGGATAGTTGAGCCACCTTGTGTGCACATGGCGGGAGCCCACAGCTGTGGACCGTACCACCAATTTCCAAGATCATTAATCTTCTCTTCGCTCGGTTTGGTTTCTTGTAAGCAAACTATATGAATGTTCTTATCGAAACCCCACGATTTCAATCTTTCCTTCTTCCTTCTGTTCGTTGACTCCCCTAATCCTCTAACATTTCGAGTGGCGATCCTGATTTTACCCGTGTAGGCCAGAACCTCGACCAGCGTCATGGATGAGGGAGTTGTGAGAAGATTGAGATGGAAGCCACGGGGAAGTGAGCGACTGAACCATAAAGGAAGAATTTAGTTTCTTTTCCCTCAACAATCGACCTTCCACGTCAGTGAGACATTCTGCCGAGGGAAGGGGGGGGAGCTTAGCTCCTGTTTGCGGGCTTCCGCAAACCAGGTTAGCGGGAGAAGAATCAAACCTTCCCGTTCCAACATCTCGATTTGACAAGGGGCAAATCTGGCATCCATGATCGGAACAAAAAACTTTATACGCTTGCCCCCACCCGCTGGACTATCCGTTATGATTCGGGTCATAGATTGGTCAGGGATCAACCGAAAGAGGAATCGATCCAAAATAGCAGGACGAACTAAAGATACCATTGAGGAGGGCATAGGCTGCTCCGGCGCTGGGACACTGATCAGGGTCGGAGTGCCGTCCGTCGTGGCCCAAGCAATTACCCACGAGGCGTTCCGTAACCTAGTACAGAAGAGTGGCAGAATTCTGTTCTCAACCAACGACAGTTGTCCACGAGACAGGGTGGCTGGGGCTCGTCTTCGTGTGGTTTTGGTACCGAGAGTACCAATTTCTCTTACCTGCGAGGAGTCAGAACGAGGGGTAGAAGGTTCTGAAGCTTCTTCATCTCGTTGTTCGCTCGCCACGAAACTCCCTTCCATATCAAGTCGGCGTTGCTTGCCTGGAGTGGCAGATCTTGGGCGAGCCGATGAGCTGCTAGCTGCTGCTGCTGCTGATGGGCGAGGAGGACCTCCTGTAGTACCTGCCAAGGAAGTCCCTGGAGGGATCATAGCCGTCGAGGTAGAGGTGACTCGAAAGTCCGGCATGCGCTGTTGATCGCCTAGGCCTGATGGTTCTCTTGGAATTCCTTGGAACATGTGATACTGCATCATCGCTGCATTACCTTGCTGATGGGTCCAAGGCATAAATGAATGGCCCGTCCAATTTGGCATCCCGTAGCTGGGATGTTGATGAGACAGGGCCGGAGAGAAAATCTGCTGCTGATTAGAGAACATAACTCCGCTTAGTCCCTGGGACGTAGACACCCAAGTGTTCAATTGCCCTTGTGATTGCAAGGAACCTCCAAAACCTTGAGCTACGCCATTTGCAAGAGACTGCTGTGAAGGAGACCGGCCTAATGGGCCCATTGGGCCCATGTATCTCGGGGCCGATGATTCTTGTTGTCCTCCCTGCGAGGGGACTTGACCGCCTTGTTGCTGTTGACTGTTGACTTGTTGGCCTTGACTGTTTCCTTGTCTTGCTCCTCGCCTGCACTCTGTAGCTGTGTGAAAAAAGGCACGGCATCGTCGGCATCGAGGGGTATCTGACGAGGCAAGTTTTATCTCCAACTCGTCTCCTTCTGAGGTAAGAACCCGCATCTTGTCCTTCATGTTCGACCGTGACGCTGGGTCGATGTCGAATCTGACGTTAGTTAACGAAGGCTTCAACCTATCAGGCTCGGTGGGGTGGGTTCTAACGACAGGACCAATAGCCTTAGAAACCTGTGCTTCCAGGTAAAATAGCGAGTCCAGAGGAACTTGGACTGCTACTACCCAAAAGGATTGCAGGTTCTCCTCCTCTCGTTGTTGTCTTAGTTGTGCTTTTGTCAGCCACGGTTTGAATTCTAGCTTATATGTCTTAGAACCAATCGTGATTTCGTCGTGTCCCTTCGTGACCAACCATGAGGCTATTGCCCTGTTCTTGGCCACGTACGAAACAACATTGGGGCTTTCTATCTTTACCCTACCCCGTCTGAATTGTTCAGCCTCAAAGCTACCGTCCTGTATTTTTTCGTCCTCATACGCCCTAACCACATCGTCTTTCACTTTCTTCGGCAGAAACCTGGCTCCCTCACGAAAGATAACAGTAACCGTGTGTTCCTTAAGCCAAGCGATTTTGATGCGGTCGATGGCTACGTTCACAGTGAACCTAACTTCCCTACCTTCCACTGTCATTTCTCCCGGATCGATTTTAGTTGGGAGCAGCCCTTCTTCATAACACAAACGCAGGAGTTCTCTAGCCCTCTCCTCATCTTCTCTATCGATGCCCGGGTCTGGTGGAGGTGAACGAGCTTCCCTCTGATTACCTCCTGCATCCATGGCTGTAGCCGCCATGGTAGAAACCCAACCTTCAGAACTATAACGAATAGCAGCAAAGAATCAAAACCTAAGCTGAGAAAAGGTACCGTAGGCCTAAAGCACTTAACACACATGCGTTACTGAGTGGGTTGACCTCGGCTGAACGCTGCGTCTCCTCCGACCTATGCTGTCCAAAGGGCAGCCATAGTCGTCTCTCCGAGCAAGGCGGACGAGTAGGGAGAAACATCTACCATGGCATCATCATTGGCGGTGACGTCAATGGCCAACAGTCCCCGCGTTACCGTGGGGATAGCGCTTGGTCCGAAACGTCGAGACGCCGGCGGAAGCCCTCCGGGCTGACCTTTCCTCTACGACGCCCACCCAAATTCGCGTTTCCTGGTAAAGAATTTTGATTTGACCCTAAGGCAAAAGTTGTTCAGTTTATTTTTCTGCATAACATAGTTTTTTTTCAGATTTTTTGGATTTGTTTTTTTTTTTTTTTTTTT